TGGGGCTGTGAAGCTTATGTAAAACGTCTCATGACGTCTAGTAAGTTGGAGCCTAAATCTGATAAAGTAATTTTTGTGGGATACCCCAAGGAAACTAGAGGGTATGAGTTCTATCATCCATCCGATAACAAAATATTTGTTGCTCGGAATGGAACCTTCCTTGAGAAGGAGTTTCTTTCTGCTATCAGTAGTGGGAGAAAGGTAGACCTCGAAGAAATTCGAGAACCACAAGAAGAAGTCCCGATAGTGTTGGAACCTGAGCAAAGAGATCAAGCAATTGAACCTCAAATTGCTCAAGATATACCACGTAGGTCAGACCGGATACGTAATCCTCCGGTCAGATATGGATTTCTCATGTCTGATGAAGGTGTCGTCTTGTTGGTAGATCAAGGCAAACCAGAGACCTACCTCGAGGCAATTACATGCCCCGAATCCGATCTATGGCTCGAAGCCATGAAATCTGAAATGGAGTCTATGTACACAAACCAAGTCTGGACCTTGGTTGATGCGCCTGAAGGGGTAAAACCCATTGGATGCAAGTGGGTCTTCAAAAAGAAGACAGACGTAGACGGGAAGGTTCATACCTTCAAAGCTAGATTGGTAGCAAAAGGTTATAGACAAATCCACGGAATTGACTGTGATGAAACCTTTTCTCCAGTTATTATGCTGAAATTCATTCGGATAATGCTTGCGATTGCAGCCTATTACGATTATGAAATTTGGCAGATGGACGTCAAAACGGCTTTCCTTAATGGGAACCTCAAAGAGGATGTCTTCATGACACAGCCTGACGGTTTTCAAATTGCTGGTCAGTCTGCCAAAGTTTGTAAGCTGCAACGTTCAATCTACGGATTAAAACAAGCATCTCGGAGTTGGTACATACGTTTCAACGAAACTATTTCCAGTTTTGGTTTCAAGAAGAACTCTGACGAATCTTGTGTATACATGAAGGTCAGTGGGAGTGTAATAGTATTCCTAATCTTGTATGTCGATGACATATTGTTAATGGGTAATGATATTCCCGCTCTCACTTCGGTAAAGACGTGGTTGAGCGAGAACTTCTCCATGAAAGACTTAGGGGATGCTAGTTATGTCCTTGGCATAAGAATCTACCGAGATAGATCAAGAAAGTTAATAGGCCTAAATCAAAGTACATATATAGATAAAATCCTTGATCGATTTAGCATGTCTAACTCAAAGAAAGGATCTTTACCTATGACACCTGGCACGGTTCTTTCCAAGAGCCAGAGTCCTTCTACTCCCGAGCAAAAGGAACTCATGATGAAGGTTCCATACGCCTCTGCGATTGGATCCATCATGTACGCCATGATATGTACTAGACCTGATGTCTCATTCGCTTTAAGCGTGACCAGCAGATACCAGGGAAGTCCAGGAGAAGCACACTGGACAGCGGTCAAGAACATCCTCAAGTATCTTCGCAATACTAAGGATGCATTCCTGGTATACGGTGGTGAGGAAGAGCTAAAGGTGGTCGGTTACACTGATGCTAGCTTCCAAACCGACAGAGACGATTCAAAATCACAAGCAGGATATTTGTTTTGCCTGAATGGTGGAGCTTTTAGTTGGAAGAGCTTTAAGGAGGATACAACCGCCGATTCGACTACAGAGGCTGAGTACATAGCTGCCGCCGAGGCAGC